ATGACAGATTACGCGGGTTTAGCAATATAATCTCATACAGCGTGACTCAATACAATTTCTTGTTATAAAGAATTTTCCTTGGATGTATAGAAGCTTGCCTTGAATGATTGACTATCCCTGCTACTTGCAAGCCAGCAGGCAGTCTGCTGGCCAATTTACCCGAGTATTTTCTCAAGTACAGTAGTTTTGCACAATTATTCTACCGTGGTGGTTCTGGTGCTTATGTAAAAGGTCATATAACATGAAAAATGACAGAAATGACATATTTTTCTCATACTCAAGTGATATTTTTTCAAGTGGAACAAGGGGTGACTTAGTGAACTAATCGTTGCTCTTTGACATACACAATGGCAGTGAAATAACGTGAAAAAAGGCACTGAAGGTCCCTTCCAGTGGAGCATGGCTAGTGCTTTTGGCTTTGGTTTTAGAATGATTTTTAAAAAATGAGCTCAGACATCCCATCAACCAGAGTTTTGAAATTCTCTCTTAGTCCACTAGATGGTGATCCTTGTAAATAAGGATTCAGGTAACTAAACAAGACTCAGGCCATTAACCATAAAAAAACCACAGTCTAGTATGCATAACAGAAAAACTTGGTTACAATATGACACAATTTGCATTATAAACCTATACAAACAAATCCCAAAACATGGCTGAGAAATTGCTTGAGCATATGACTGCACTGTGCCCTCAGCATTACATCAATAGGAGTATTGGGACCCAGTCACCAAGAAAACTGAACTTGATCTCACTCTCTTCTTACTGCAAATCAATTTGCAACATCCAAGCTGCAAACCCCTTTTGGAAGCTCATAAAGAAAACTACAGCAAGGCACTGTATTTATTTGAGGCTGCCTTTGATGCACATGCATTTAAGCACATTTGGTTTTCTGCATAGCATGCAGAAAATTCCGTATGTAATCTTAACATAAAACAAAATCTTAGGATATGGTAATAGAAATGTTTTATTAATCAAATATATTTACATTTCTTCATCTTCTTTTTAAATGTGTGCCTGTTATCTTCATTTGAACACAATGTCATCTTTACAGTTGATGTCACAAGAATACAGCTACATGCATGACTTAATTGGTCCTTTGCAGTAAAAAAGATGCAATTTTATGAAGTTTAAAAAAAGCAAGCAAGCTCTTTACCTTTCTAATTACAGTATCATTATTATTTTTATTACAACAGAGGATCCCTTCAGCATACTCTACAACTATTGGGCGGATTTATGCACTTTTTCAGATTGGCTTGATGATGTCAAAACTTCCAAAATCTAGACAAAATATTAAAAAAAAAGACTTCATGCAGTCCCAGAATATTTTATTTTCTGGATTTATTATTATCCACAGAAAGGAAATGGATGGAACAGAAGAGCGCTCTAATTATAATTTAAAAAAAAAAAAATCATAGCAATTGATGACTCTCAAAAGCAATGACGACTTACTTTTGGACTTTCACCTATGTATTCATCTGAAATCACATCATCTATAAGACAGCATCACATAACATAATGGCACCATACAAATAATAAATAGTAATTAAAAGGAGAGATGATGTTACCAAAAGAAAAGATATACACATCATTGCTTATAAGTTTCTGGTCTGTAATGTGCTGTAATTATTACATTATTCTCAACTCAGCTTTCTTTCATGGGAAGACAATCAAATTGCGCTAAAAAAGATCGTATTTGGGGTCTATAACTGCAGGTTCAAAAAGGACCTAACATCTTTCTGAAAGGAATAGCTCTATGAATGTATAAATTTTAATTCCACACTGAAAAAAAATCAGAACTAGGCACAATTTTTAAATATGACTTCCAACATGTTCATGGTTGGACAAAAAATTTAAAAAAAACAAGCTTGTATTTATTTACCAGACTACAAAACAGAGATGCCAAGTGCTTCAGAAATTCTGAAATGGCAGGCACATAATCACTACATTTAAAGATAATTGTACTACACTTACTGCTTCAGTTTACTGTGTGCAAACACATACTGTATTCATAATAGACCTAAATGTATGGTTGTTCTGTCGATACATGAACAGGAACTCACGCAACATTCGGGAAGTGCAGACAGGAACTAGATTCTGTTTAGTCCAAACCTAGGATGTATTTTAGCTTGTCCATGTTAGTTTTACATTTGCTATGTTGTAACAGAATGCCAAATGTTGTACTTGAGAAAAACCCACTATGAAATCATGGGTTTTCACTGAATTGCTTTTGTATGCTGCCAAATCTGTTGTGAAAGTGCCATGTATAAAATAATACAATAACCAAAATTGTGCTTGGGCATCTGGCACAACACAGCAATTTACACAAGAAAGAATTATTTGGAAGAAAAAAAGTAAGTTCTGCAGAAATCCTACTGTGGTGCATTCTTTAAAAAATCCAGTAAAGTCTTGATATAATTGATCTTCATGCCCATACAGGAGAATATTTAGACACATGTTTAATTAAAAACATATAAATAAGCCTATCAATACTCATCAGGGAACTTGCAATATCTGTAAGCACATACTTATATCCTATTTGCATTATAGGATTCAAATATAAATCCCTTTCTGCAAGAGGCTGAGTGCTCTGCACTACCACTAACCACATCCCTGAACAGAAGAGCACGGTTAGATAATGCAACAGCACAAGTCAGTGATCTAACAGATAGCTCACATTTGCTTTTCAGAGCATGACATATCTCTTTTCCCACTTACTTTATAAATTTCTGCTTTTTTTTTTTTTTTTTTTTTTTTTTTTGTG